AAAATTCACCATCTTTATTAACTTATCACTACTCACGATGAATTCGATAGCGTTGATCCTAGCAGTATGCAGGACACCTATCACTAAATACATTGACACATTAATAGAGCTTTTACTTACTTTGCTTACTTACTGACACGTACTTTACATTACATCACGCTACAGTGCATTACATAACTAACCTTACATTGTCTTTTTTCTTTTTCTTTATTATTATTATTTTTTGCTAGGCTACCTACGCTAAGAATTATTTACAATACATTGAGTACTTATCGTACACTATTTTTTTTTGTTTTTTTTGTTAAGCTGGCTACGGGTACAAGTAGTACTGAAAACTAATTTTTCTATTTTGCATATTCATATTTTAGAAATGGGAGAGATAATAACTAAAGAAGGTGCGCTTTCCAGTTCCTGTTTAATTAAAGTAATTTTCAAACATGTATCTTTGTTTCTTTGTTGTACAGCATCTATAAAATCGTGATGAGAAATAGGCTTGTTGTTTAATTTGCTACTATAGATATAGTAGCGCATGAATAGTGTTGTGTAATTAAATTTCTTTATCGAGTTATTTCCGGGCGAATTAGTAATGATGCCGAATATCAGCTCCTCAGTAGTTGGAGAGATTTGAGAATTGTTTGTTTTATTGAACCAAAGTGTTACTTTTTGTACGAATGACTTAGTGAAGGAGCAGTGAATGAAGGTATGGTCGATGGAGTCCTTTCCCCTACAGAAACAGCATTCATCGTCCGGTTTAATCCCATATTTGAATAGTTCTCCCTTTGTCACCACAGTTCTATGAATAAACTTACAATGAAATTCTCTTAGCTTCGTTTCCTTGCATACTGTTCTCAGAGACTTGAAAATCTTTCCCTTGTGATCTTCATTTAAGGACAGGTTTTCACTCCATCTTTTGGGACCAGTGTGGCCCCCAGTGTGGGTTTTGTCAATGAGCAGTTGGTAGAAGTCTCGTGATTTCGCTTTGTCTAGATTGATTCCGAGATTGTTATTAAAATAAAAAAAGTGGTCATTGCTTGTAAAGAATTCTTTGTTACCGAATCTACTTGTCTCGCTTTCAATAGCAATTGATTCGGTATGGTACTAACGATCTGGTAATATTGGAGGAAATTAGTTTTGCATGCAAATTTGTTAGAAAATTCTTGGAATGAAAGGTAACTTCCATCATCTTTAAACAGGTCCTTAATCGAAATAACATCTTTTTGTACCCAGTTACTGAGATACACAGATATGTTATCCACGAGAATTTCTCTGTTATTAAATAAAACTAAATCGCTTCCTTGATCGTACCCATACATTGTTTTTAATTCTTTGAAGAATTCGAGTATATTCCTGTAAAAGATTGGCAATTGTGGGAGATGCTTTGTATCGTAATTGCATCTTAGGAGAAAGTTTAAGCGCCCCAATTTTCTGAAAAAATGATATGGCACAGTCCAGCAATTACGGTCGCCCGCGGTCAAGAGTCGGGGTATCCGGTCCATGCAAGTCTCAACGATCTAAATTTTCTTCGCAAGATCGGAGAGCTGTTTTCTACTAAGTCGGCTGATCGCTGATCTTTAAAGGGGAGAATAATCCGAAGGGGCTTGTTAGAAAATTAACAGCGACTTGCGCCCAGTGTTTACGAGCAAATAAATTGCTGATGAGATCAAAGTGACGGAACCCAAACCATCTCTTGTTAACGAAAAATGCGTTGTTTATGAATACAAATGTGATCTGTGCGACGCTGATTATGTGGGCTATACATGCCGACACCTTTTCAGCGCATTAATGAGCATAAGCATTCTGTCATTGGTAAACACCTGCGGGACGTACACAGTCTGAGGAGCAAAGATCTCCGTGACCAATTTACAATCCTCAGGAAATGCCGTCGGAAACTGGAATGTTTAATTTATGAAATGCTCTTCTTCACAAACAAAAAAACCAACACTTAACACTCAATCTGACTCCATTAAAGCAAAACTTTTTATTTGACAGTTCAAAGCACCACGCTTGGTATTTTTATTTTTATTCATCGATTATTTTTATCTCTTAATCATATGCACTGAGACCTTCACACGTACATTAACTATATAATGAACTGACTCACAGTTTATTTTATTTGAATTTGAGAATGATGGCATGGAACCGTCGAAACGCCATTCTTTAATATCGCTGCTTTTTATTCTCAATTAATTAATTAATTAATTAATTAAAAAATTCGTATTAGAGAATTGTAAAAGGATTTTTATCTTCTTTATATCCAATTATTTTACGTGCATTTGAACACTTATATCACCTCTGCATGGAACTGAGATGTCATGTCCGGTAGTTTGGCATGGTCTCAAGCAACAAATCGAAACATCACGTGTTCAAATTCAGTACTACGAACAACTACGGTGGTATGTAAAGAAGAAACAGGGACAGCCAAGGCCGGTTTTCTCTCAAATGCTTTGAAACGCTGTTTCAGGCTATCTGGAGTACTTTTAAAGCTCTGTCTTTTAATTTTAGGCTACGCTCCAAAATTTTATTTGTTGGAAATTGATTCTTCTCGGATTTACTAGGGCTTTAATGTTCGTTTCCCGAAAACTTTCGGTCTTATTGCCTTTCCGAAAATTTCTGGTACCCAAAAATAACATTTTTATCAATTCGAAAACAACAGGCATTAAATTTCTTATATCACGAAAGTTCGATGTGACAATTCTCTTTCGAAAATCGGAGAGAATTAAAAGCCTTCCAAACAGATAATTTACCGAAACGATCAGTTGGGCGCCGCTGTGGAAATTACTTTGATTAAAGCGAGAACAATGGCTACTATATACGTAGCCTCGATCTCGTGTCGGCTCCGGAGAGGCACGCGGGCTCCTTTTCCGAAAAGTGGCTGGTAATCGAGCCTACTATATGATGAAGAACGATGAAGAACTAAATAAATTGCAAAGCCGTGAATGAAGATCCTGCTTGACTGAACGTTGGATCTCACAGGAGATCTAATCAGCCAAACTTGATAAATAAAACGATGAGAAGTCAAAGACTACTGCAAGGCTGATACAACGTGACCAGCCTTCTTCAGGTTTAGATTTAGGTAGGGTTCAGAGCCACCTTAACTCTTCGAAAATTTAAGGTGGCTCTGCACCCCACCTACAGCATTTTTTTAAACTTTGCCAAAAGTTGCGTCTTATCATGCTTGTCAAATGTTGATAATATAAAAAAAAATTCACGTTGCCATTTTTGCATTATAAGCCCCCAAAGCTGTAATTAAGGGTATTTTTAGCTGGTCGTCCTGTTGCTATGGTGACCTATTGTGTTACGAAAATGATAACAACGTGTTCAACAATGGTTGGGCAGGTTTTTGATACCATGATTGTAGCATCAAGTGTTAATTATAGAGTGGTTATAACGACCCATCAAAATCTAAGTGCTGGAAACTGTTTTGAGCCACCTTAACCTGGCCCTTAAGTGAGAACAGTGTATTATATTCCTTCTTATTGTAGCATCAAAACTTATTAAACGGGTTACAACGAAAGTTTAATTGTTGTCCAGTTTTTTGAGGTCTTGTAAAATAATGACGAAGATTCTTGGGGATTCGCTTTTCGTAGAATTGTGTATTCTTCTTTCATTTTTTGGCATAAATAAAAGTTGTTGTTGTTGTTGTTGCCATTTTCAGGGCTTTTAGGTTTTTATGTGATTTTTTTAAGAGTTGCTTTCTAGGACTTGGCTCGAACTTAATTCTTTTATTACAGCGCACGGCATCATTTGTAATTTTAAATTACAACTTATTCACTACCGATAGCTACTCAGCAGTAAATCCGTTGATTTATTTCACATTCAAAGAAGATAACAATCTTGATTCTTTACAGATCTTCACAAATGTACCCACGTGGTGCTGTGTTACCTGTAGCCTCATAATAATTAAAATTGCACTCGACATTATTAAAATGCCCGTATTCATTTCGATAGAAAGAATTGATTTCAGCACAATCTTCGCGGGGGTCGTTATTAGGCTCGTCTTTCTGCCAGCGGCTGTCATCTGTGGCCACAGTGACACCAGGCGATTCTGCCTCGGTCCATTTCCACGTTCCACTTTCTTTACGGAGTCCAATGTAATAGTGAGTGTAACTACCGGTCTCCGTAGTTTTGTCGATGAGGTAGTCCTTCACTTTGTTCCACTCGTCGGTTGTTTCCATGGTAACCAGCCGGGCTCCCATATCAAGACACGCCTTACGGGCCTCGTTCCATGTTCCGCCTATGTCATGGAATGTGTAGCAGCCTATCCTCGTGCTAGTGATGCGGCGGCTACCTTCCGCAACTGAAATATTTAACCATTTATCAACTTCAAGTGATAACCGTGTGCCATTATTGCCGGTTTTCTCATGACGTCACCAAAATTCAAACTACAAAACTATTGATCCTCCTGACATGTTACTTCCATGATGTATAAGAGCAGCTGGAAACTAATATTCATACAGATTTTTGCTCCGAATGGGTTCTTGGTTTTGTGACAGACTACGCTTGAATTTCTGAGCTTTTGCATGACGCGGCATTAACATGACGGCCGAGAGAGCTGTCTTGTTGGCTAAAAATGTGACTTAATTCGGGTAATTTGGCTGTCCGAACAGTTCTTGTATTAGAAAAAGTATTATTTTAATGTTTTTGAGTTCCTCGAGAGATAAATTCACGCTTTTGTAGCAAAACTCAGTAACAGATGTTTCTGTTGGTTTCCGGCCGCCATGTTGGTGCCCATCTGGATGGGCACCAGCTTGGTGTCTCCACACAAATCTCTATAAATTTGGGTAAAAGGTTTCTCCGCATATCTTGCATAAGAAAAACTGCTGTGACCTGAATCTTGGCTAGAGTCTTTGCATATTTACTTTCTTTC